CACATTTGTGATTCGTTTCTTTCAACAAAATGCAATCGATCGTTTAATGATAATATTAATTAAAAAAAATCAGTCTTAGTTGTTGATAAGATTAAATAAATTAGAAAATGAGTCAGTGAAATTATATTTAAATTTATAGGAATTTTTACGTTTTTAAGTTTAAAAAGGCAGAAAGTTTCTTAAAATTATTTAAAAAAAAAGAAGAAGTAAATATTGTGAATGTATATAAAATATTTCATGATATTGTATTAGTAAATAACATATGCATATAGAAAATAAGTATAAAAATAGGCAATAGTTGATGGGTCATAAAATTATTAATACAAAATTTCTCATAGACTTTATTCAACAACATGATCCCAAAAAAACTAAAATATACAGTATAAGAGACCGAGTAACTTCAGGTTTCCAGTTCTTTTAAATCAAACCTTATAGAAGAAGGTTCAGTGCTTTCAAAATAATTGGCCCAACTTCTTTTCTTTATAGAAATCACAAATATTTTAGTTTTTATCTTCGTTTATATCGTATTTATACTCGTAGTTATTTTAGAAAGTGTTTTTTCTGATTTCGAGAGGATTGCCAATAGTTGTACCTGAATTATAGTAATAGACTCACGGTTACATTTTCCTACAAATTTAATAATAAGACGAGTTACGGCAAGACTTTCCGCGCTTGGAAGAAGAAGAAGTCGTTTTTAAATGGTTAATCAAAGTGTTGACCGTTGTTAAGCTGTTTAATATTCTGCTTCTCAAGCGACGGATGGAGTGACAGCGATTCAATACCCAACTTACTCTTTCCATCATCCCTTTTTTTTCTCTGACTTGAATGCTGATGACCAAGATCAATTTTGACGCGTGTGAAACGTCATCATGTTCATTAAAAAGTTTACGGAATTTATTGGATCTTGATCAGTTTCTGAATATATTTTTATTTATCCTTGAATAATATTTATTTTATTAATTTGTGTGGGTGTTCAAATATGCAACACGCGTAAATCTCTGTATGATGCACAGCAAATGCAAATTAAGATAATTAAATAAAAAAATAACACATTTAAATAATGGAACAAGTTACTATTAGCATTATCTTTGGCTAATTTAACATAATTTATTTAGCACAGAATATAAGAAAAGAGCCCAGTTTTACATGCTACAATTAAAAATATCGATGAAAATTTTACTTTACTACAATTTCATGTTAGAAATTTAGGAAATAAATATCTGCATATATTGTTATGAAAAAAATACAAACAGCAATTAATATAGATTTGAAATAAATTACATATTTTTATTATCAACGAGGGATATAATAATGAGATGTGTACTAGAAGAACGATGTTAATTACAATTTAATAAATTAATTTAATGATTATAAACTATAATTATTCTCAGCAACATTTAACTACTTTTATTGAAAAAAAAATTTTTTTTTGGACACGATGGTCGTTTAAGGCCTAATTTTTGAGCTTGATCTGTGCTAGCATCCTTTCGTCCAGTCCTTTCGCGAAGGAGTCAACCCTTTCTTGTAACTGATAATGTTATTTAGTTCTAGTTAATTTAGTAGTAGAAGTAACGCTTGCCGCGATTTCGATTTGTTTGCGCCTACTAGTTTATCGCTTGCAAACATAAAATTAAATCCACTACAGTGAAAAATATAGGCGCTGCTGTGTTTGCGTTGTTATTGAAAGTCAATTTGTACTAATATTATAGGGTGAAAAGATTTGCATTTTTAAATGTAAGCAATAAACTCAAAAAGTACTGCACCGATTTAAAAAAATCAGTTGTTTGATTAGGCCTATATTTTTTACGAAAAAAAAAATCTTTAAATTCCGCGCGCACGAAGTCATGAACAAGAGCTAGTCACCTATATATATTTTTGCTATATTAGTGCAGAAAATTATTATATTAATGAGCGTTAGCACACAAATCATTTTTACTAGCTGAACCCGGCATTCGTTGCAATGCAAAAGTAAGAAGAAGAGAAGAAGAAATAGCGTCTTGAAATGTCATAAAAATCAACTGAACTGTTTCGAAGGAGGTCGACTACATACACCGTGACAAGAGATTTTTATACATATATATTTATTATAAGAACCCGAAAACATACAAGTTATTAAAAGATTCGAGTAATTTCCACAATAATACTTTTGTTAAGTTATGTACTTTGTTTACATTATGTAATATTTGTTGACGATTAAAAATTGTAAAATACGTGCTATAAAAATCAAATTTCGATTTATTTTTAAATATGTACAATAAAAGGTATACATATAAGGTTTCCTGAATCACGGATCTAGATGCATACCTTCATAAAATGTAAATTCCTTATGACAGAAGGCTCGAAGATGGCCGCTAACGTGGTAATAAAAACAACAGTTAATTTGTTTTCTACTGAAAATTTACATTAACATTACTTAACCTGCCAAGCGAATTAATAATTTAACCGTTTTATCTTCGATTAATAACTAAATGATAATGGTCAAGGTATTATTTTATGTCTCAGTAACTACATGACTAGAAACATCTTTATCTTATTCCACACTGTATATTTTTCCTAGTTTTTAGATTAAGACAACCGTCAGTTTGTACTTCGATTCATTTTTAATTATCTAGAGATAACAGACGCAGAGAATATCGTTCTATTATTGAGGTTAACATCATAAATTTACTGCAATTTTTACCTAATATTATAATATAATTATTATTTTGTCATTTCATATAAGGACAAGGTAACTGGTATAGTTATTGGCAAGGTTAAAGGATAGTTAGTTTTTTTTTTTATTTAAAATTTATGATACATTTATCAAATCACTTTAGATGATTAAAAAGTGCACTTTTAATTAAATTGTCTTGACAGACAAACTGTCCTCACTTTATATTATCTATGGATAAATATGTATATTAGACATTTTGAAATTATAGCCCGGATTGTCCATGACATTATATTTTCTCAGGTCCTTTTCACACCTTCCGATGCAACATAATTTGGAAGATAATAATCAGAGCCGCGCCTTTTCAGCCTTAAACATTATATAATTTTTATAGCAATCTCTATCTATCGATCGCATGTGGTTTGACGTAAAATTTAAATGTTGCCTTCCTCATAAAAATCTTACAGGATATACATTTTTCTAGTATATTTTATTAAGGAATTTTAACTGTTATGTTGTTTACGAAAAAATAATAAATCCAACAATGTTATCAATCTTTTTTTTCGGTGTATTGTATGTAATTCAACCTAGCTGATCTAAGTACTTAATTTATTAAAAATAAAATTAAATAAATAGGAACATTTTATATAATATCTGGTCACTTTGTAATGAACACAGAATAAAGTATGCATGTACGAGTATCTATTTATACGTACAACTATACTATTGGTCGCCCTTTGGTCATTGTTCGACCATGATTCATAAAGATTTTTTATATTTTATATTAAAACAATTTTATGCACATCTCCACATAATCTTAAGTTTTGTCATGGGTGTAATTTCTTTGAAAAGAGGTACAAACTTTTTGTTTCAGGTTTTAATAAAATTATTTTGTTATATTTGCTTTTAAAATGAAATATTTTTTATATTTTAAATATAACATATTTCGACGAAATTTAAGTCCAATAATAAAAATGTATACTTAAATATTTCTTATTTTACATACAATGATTATGTAATATATAACAAGTTCGGGCCGAAACCAGACAACAATAAATTCAAATTTAATTCAATTATAGATCATTTATTTCATCACAAATGGAATTTGATACATAATAATCAAAAAGTAAAAATTCTCATCTATTTACGTTATACTTATGTATTGTACGAAAACTCACACATACAAAGTTTGTGTGGGTTACTCGTCGCTGGCTGTGCATCTAATGGTGGGTTTCATGGTGCGTTGATTTACAGAAGGACGGTAGATAACCACTAGAGTCAAGCATCACGCGCGCCAATGGCGAGTAAAAAACGATCAAAGACGAACTCGTCTTCATAATTTTTCCACTGAGAAAACACTTTTAAAAAACATATTGTTATCCCTATATGTAATTCATAAATAAAAACTGAGACACCATTTAAAAAAATTATTATTTGAGTGAAACCAATTTGTCTGCGATCGTTCTCAGATTCACGCTCCGTGAAAAACTATCTTTAAAAATCGTTCTCATGTGACGTTCAATCTGATAAGGTTCTCAAACTGTTACAACACAAGATATTGATTAATTTTTTTATTACTTTTACTTATTAAAAATAATTTTGATATTATAAATAAAATGCAATATTCGTATGTTCATCTTTATTTCCTTGCCAATTAAATCGATAATTGATTTTAATTTTGAAATTGATAAAAAACTTTAATATATAAGTGTATTTCATTTTAAATCAATCTTTAATACTATGTTTTGATATATATATTTTTGAAAATAAAGCGTCTTCGCGGAAATTGACAGAATACATGTCTTTCGTTTTTGACATATGGATTTGACTAGTAGATTTTAATAGTCAGTTCCTCATATAAATAGATAATAAGACGAGATATCAGTTAATCATAATAAATTGATAAATGTGAACATGATGTACAAAAAGAATTATTTCATATATCTTGGCGGTCAAATGACATCGGTGCGCTGCGTAATGCCCAGCTTGCCCCATGGTTGTCAGTGCGTAATTCGCGTTGTTGTGTCGTCGTTGATTTTTGATGACATACATAGCCGATAAATGTACAACAAAAATATCCACTTTGATCATTTAATTTAAAACTGAAATTACAACTAATATGAGCATACAAAAATGTATACAAAATCACGTATAATACAAAAAATATTTGTAATTGGATTGATGAAGTAAATATTCCATCATTACGTACAAAAAATGTATAAGCTTCTCATAGAAGATTGGGAATCTCTGCCAGTGACTAACATTGTTTGTTGATACACATTATGAATGAGATGGACAAGACAAGGGAGGAAATATATAGAGTAGGTGAAAAAAGGTATAAATAGACATTGACGTTTCAAAGAACACACTCAAGTTGTAAAGCTCGCACGGAACCGAAATGCGGGGCGTTCTGGTTTGTATAATAATCTTAATGTAAATATTAGATAAAGTGATCTAAATAATATGCAAATGTATCTAGACACCGTTAAAGCGGAATTTTATGGTCCATTATGTTAATTTATAACTTTTTAAACATTTTATCACAACCTTATTTGGCCTAAAATGTGTAGAGAGTATAAATTATAGTCAAATTTAAATCTATTTTTCTCATTCAAGGTGCTATGTTTGACCGTAGCGGTCGCGTTTGCGGCGGATACTGGAAGGTATGTTTTTAATTTTTAGAAATTGTTATAAGTTTAATACAAAAAGGGTAAAATGGGGATTGTACAAATGAGCATTCTTAAATTAAATATCTAATCATCATCACATTTTCATTTGAAATCTCTATCACCAAACCACACCGGGCCACCGTGGGTGACTATAGGCTAGTCACCCATAACTTACGGTAGGCTCCAATCCACTCAGGGGGGGGCGCATAGCGAGATGATGATGATTTTAATTACCTTCTCATTTTTAGATGGGAGGGTAGTAAAGATGGCATATGGTGGGAAACAATGCGGTCTGTATCAATGTAAAAAACATAGTATAGTGTAAAATAATCCCTTGTCTATCAATCTGAAACTGAACCATTTCGCCTTAGGTCCCGACTGAATAATGGTCAAGGAGTAACAACATGATATACATTGAAATCATGGCAATTTACAATTTTTATTTTATTTCAGTCCCACGCCCTTCCAGTTTGTTACGTCGACACCAAGCTATAACCGTTACTTTGGAAGATATTCAACCACTCCCGCTAATGCCGGTCGCTACGACGGCCGCTATGACCCTGGTCGCTATAGTGCCGGGCGATATGACCCTGGCAAGTACGACCCCGGTAAATACGACCCTGGTAAATACAACCCCGGCAAGTACGATCAATCTGGACGCTGGATTCCTGACGATTCTGGCAAGTACAAGTAAGTGGAACGTTTATTACATATTAGATAGATTTATTTTAGCATTAGTACAATGTAGTCTAATGAATTTAAACATGGTTTGACCCTTATTTATTTTGGCAGTCACCAATTTTTGTACTTTTTTTAGTTATTGTATGTATTTATTGTATTATTATTCTCTATGTTTATTTAAAAAGTAAAAATTACTTATCTTTTAAAAAGTGAAAATAAGTTATATGTTGAATAAGTTAAGTCGTAGCTGGACAACCTACATTTTCATATCAATTTTATATCCCAATTTTTGTATCTTGAATACGGAATCAATTGTTAATAAGTGAATTAATATTTACAAAAGATATTTACGATTTTCCTAAAGCTCTTCCATATATCCATATTATTCGAAGATAAAACAGTCAAGAAAATGCCTGAAAGACACAAGACTATATTACAGGAAGTTCATAATTCGTTTGATAGAACAGTTCATGATATTTATTTTAAATCTGCTTTAATACTTTTTTACGAATGTCTTAAATTATATCAGTGGTGACCGCGGGGACCGTGGTGGCGCTGGTGGCTTCTATGTTCACCAAGGAAGTGATGGTGGAAAGTACCAGCCTGACAACAACGACTACAACGGGTAAGATTTTATTTTTGCCTGCCATATTCATGAGGGCAATATTGTTCGCTTTTCTAGATACATATGTTTTTATGTATCAGAGTTGGTTTTATATAATCCTGAACCAGTTTCGACGAGTGACGTGTCATTTGATAAGCATTCTTCCTAGAATGCCGTAGGGGTAGACTTTCTTTTTTTTTTAATTAACGCTAATATCGAAATTTACGCTGTTATAGAAGATCCTACTCTCATACAAATGAAAAATAATAAAAGATAAAGTGCTTTTGAGAACTGTTACTTTTTAAATATTTGAATATCAGATTATTGATTTTAATTGCAGCGGTGGAGGCTACACTGGAGCAGCGTACACGACTTCCGCATACGTTCCTACAACTACTGAAGCGCCGAGACCGACATCTACCTCGGCTCCCAGTCCCTCTCCTTCTCCCAGTCCTACCCCAAGCCCGAGCCCTGTGCCAGTTTTCGTGCCAACATACAAGCCCACTCAACAACCCTACGTCGCTCCTTCAAACAGACCTTACGATGAAACCTACTTGAACAGATACGACATTATCCGTTTGTATCACGATTACCTTCCTCCTGGTGGTTACCATTACCTTCTTGAGACTGAAAACAAAATCCTCGCCGAACAAGACGGCAAGGTCGAGCAAATAGACAAAGACAACTATGGTCCCAGAGTTAAAGGATTCTACGAGTACCTCGGTCCCGACGGTGTTACTTACAGAGTCGACTACACCGCTGATGAGTTTGGTTACAAGCCAGTGGGTGTTCATCTACCTTAAATGCTCTAGTCACTAAAATTACATAAATATATCTATTTTTTAAGGTTATTTTAGTGCTGTTTATTTCTCTGAAGCTTCTTGCAAAAGTCTTATATTCCTAGCTTTTTATTGTTTGCAACAGTGTTGGAAATAAAGGTTTATTTAATTTACTGATTGTTTAATTAGTGTCTACCTTTTAATGTCACATGCTTAATAATTTTAATTTAATTAAGAACATATATTGTCCGTCCACTTTGATATTTATCTATAAACTTCAGAATTACACTGATAAAATTTTAATTATCTTCTGATTCTTCCAAGCAAGGTCTGAAACATAATTAGCTTATCTAAAATATAAATCTCGGTATATTAAGACAACATAAATTCGGATGTATTTAATGTTCGGACACCCACGCATAGATGCCGTTGAAACATCATTTACCGTTGACGGTGCGCGGAGAATCGGAGAATCATTCTAGTAGGACTGTGATTGGTGCATTTTACTCAGGAACCGGAACCGAGTAAAAAAAATCACATTACTTCGAATTCGCGTTTCGTTTTCCCATCCTTTTTATGCGTGTGGAAGAAACCAGTAGCAACTTTGTATTCCTTCAGAAACTATATAAATAACATGCATTATGATAACTTCTTATAAAAGACATTTAGTAAAAGACTTTATTACCAGAAAAGGCATACCGAACGTTTATTACATAAAGGCGAATGTAATTATTACGAATGGCGGTGATTTTACTTTGTCGTACTGTAATATTAAAAGTATTAACACTTTCATACTTTGTTAGTGCGTGTCACTTTGGGAGTAGAAGAGCATATCAAATACCAGACCAAAAGAACGTAAATTAATAAATTTACTGCGCAAAGATTGAGAATCGCTGTTAATGAATAACTAATCATAATTTGTTTACTCATTATAAATGAGTGGAACTGGACTTGAGCATAAGTTTATGAAACTGGGTGAAAAAATATATAAAAGGCTTCAGTCTTTGGTGTAGCACATTCAAGTTGGTAGCGTCCTAGATATTAAGAAAATGAGGGGGATATTGGTATGTTACATTTTTAATGCTAAATCATTATATGTAGTATTGAACAAACAATCTAGCTTATCTAGTATATATTTCTTTTGCAGATTATTTTATTTTTTATTGCTTTTTACTATTCAAAATTTTAGTATTACCATACATTTAAAATTAAAATCTTGTTAATGTAGAATGCCATATTGGGAAGTATGATGTTCAGTTATATTTTTTTTATTTAAAAATAATAGCGGTAATATGTAAGATGCCTTTTGTACCTAATACGAGTATCAATAATTTGCATTTATTGTGTTAGTAATTTGTAATGCAATTGAAGTAAGATTTTGAATCTAATTCATATTTTAAAAGGTCCTCTGTCTCACTGTTACGGTTGCCTTGGCGGCTGAAACTGGAAGGTAAATATAATAATTTTTATATTAATTTAATTTAAAATACCTAATTAAAAATAGCTTTAAGAATAGAGTAACTGGATCCTAGAACTATCCTAGGCCGGCACCGCAGAGTTTATTTTTGATTGCACTACATAGATTTAGATAGTTATGGAACTAATAGAACTTTTTTCAACATAATGGTGCAGTTTAATTTCCAAGGCAATATGATTGACACCATTAAAAAGGCCAAGTTTTTTCATGGGATCTCACGAATTTTCATGGCGGAAGTTCCCACTTCCGCTTCGCGAGAGTCGGACAATATTTAAAGTTTTTTTGTTTCGATAAGTTCTACGTATTACAAAACAAACAAGAAAAAATAAAACTGGCTCTAACTCAATATGGTTTAATTATTGTCTAGGTACAATCCTCTCCAGTTCTTCACAACGACGACGCCTAGGTATTTAACGACAAAGTCTGACAGTGTTGGGCGTTACAATCCAGGGAAATATAATCCTGGGAAGTACGACCCTGGCCGTTACGACCCTGGTCGCTATGACCCCGGTCGCTATGACGCTGGACGCTACAGTGGTGGACGCTACGATAGCTCTGGAAGATACATCCCCGACGGGTCAGGAGCTTACAAGTACGTACGCTACATTTTTAAATTGCTCCGTAGCTTTGAGTGAACAATTATCTATCTAAAAGATTTTTATAGTTGTTTGATTAGCAGTACCTAACATAAATACAAAAAAATTAAAGCAATGCTTAAACGTTGTTTAAACTATTGTGTAAAATTAATAAAGTAACAAGATATATTGTTTGTAACAGATTCGTGAATGTTACATCAACTATGTGAAAATTTTAACCTTCATATTTAATTGCTTTCACAGCGGGGACCGCGGTGACCGCGGCGGTGCTGGAGGTTTCTACTCAGGTTCAAGCAGTGCGGGAGGCGCGGGAGGCTTCTACAGCGGGTCGGGCTCCGCGGGTGGTGCGGGGGGTGCTTACACCGGCTCCGGCTCCGCAGGTGGTGCGGGGGGTGCTTACACCGGATCGGGTTCCGCTGGTAGCTCAGGTGGAGCTTACGATGGTCAAGGCGATTCGAACAAGTCTTCTTCTGATAGCGGAGATGCCAAGTTAGTCTTTTTTTAGTTAAGCTATGTATAGATTAACCCAGATTTTTAAGGAACTGTAACTGTCGACCAAGAGTTATTGGATGTTATTTACTAGGAACAAGTTTTGATGAGGACTGCGATAAATGGCTTTAATGTTTGGCCAAAATCGACATAGAAATAAATTTACATATTTGAGATTGCCAAAATAGAGAGGTATCTCTAATCGAAATCGAAATTTTAATATTTGTTATTTTTTTTACAGGGAAACTGCTTTTGTGTCTACGACACCACAGTATGTTTCTACCACCGAAGCACCGAGACCAACGACAATCATCGCTCCGAGCCCTTCTCCTTCTAGCCCAAGCCCTGTGCCAGTTTTCGTGCCAACATACAAGCCCACTCAACAACCCTACGTCGCTCCTTCAATCAGACCTTACGATGAAACCTACTTGAACAGATACGACATTATCCGTTTGTATCACGATTACCTTCCTCCTGGTGGTTACCATTACCTTCTTGAGACTGAAAACAAAATCCTCGCCGAACAAGACGGCAAGGTCGAGCAAATAGACAAAGACAACTATGGTCCCAGAGTTAAAGGATTCTACGAGTACCTCGGTCCCGACGGTGTTACTTACAGAGTCGACTACACCGCTGATGAGTTTGGTTACAAGCCAGTGGGTGTTCATCTACCTTAAATGCTCTAGTCACTAAAATTGTGTAAATTGTTAGGAATATTTTAGCATTGCTTTTTTGCTAATAAACATATTGTATTATCACATTTATTGGTATTCCTGATGAAATAAAATATATATTTTTAAGTAATTTCGTTCCTTTTATTTTATAAGTTTTTTGCTGATGTCCATGGGCGTCGTTGAACACCTCGGTGTTCCTGCTGCTCGTTTGCCCCCTTCTGTTATAAAAAAAAAGTACACCTAAGAAGTTTTTAATAATGTTAATGCAATAAATATACACTAAACCTTATCCCGGCTATCGCCAATTTAAGACATGATTTATTAGAATGCTTCTAACCTGAAACAGTATTGATGCTGCTTTCTAGAAACCACATTTTGATTTATTTGTCATCCGTTGGTATGAAGAAGAAACTAAGAATACTATATATAACTAAAAATCTAAGAATACAAAAAATCGCCGCAGGTCTTCACAAATTAAAAGATAAAACAATGGTGGAAAGTCGGCAAACATTTTTTGCACAAAGATGTTGCTATTATCGTTCCTGTAAATTTTAATAATTTTCCTTCAAAACTTGGACACAAAATATTGTAAAGTTTTATTTATAACCAACCGCCTGTATAAATTTTCATAAGTTTATTTTATGATGTTAGTATTGCAGATTAAGGCTCCAATTTACTTTTATTTAAAAATATTTTTGTGTTTACAGTTTTTCTTGTGTCAAATAAAAACTGCTTTCCAAAAATACCAGAATTTTGACAGATGGCTATAGCCTTATTATTTATTTTGACCAAGTTATTACGCTGTTTTTTCCTGAACAAGAGCTAATATACTATTGAAGTGTAAGCTTACTATTGATACGACTACAAGATTTTTAAGGTCTCTTTTGATACCTGTCAACATGCATGTATAAGATAAATCATATTGTTATAGTAATTGAATAATTTAATTACATATTCTAAAACAATATTCACTTTCTTAAGATCATAGTTAATCAACACAAAAGTAATTTAGCTATTAGAAATAGACAGGCGCTTAATTGAGAAATATTGTAAATTCCATTCTTACGGCCAATGTAATAAAATAAACCAAAAATATTTACAAAAGAATGAAATAAGTATGTTATAAATACACGGTATTAACTTATTAGTGACTAGTAAAATTAAGTACTAAGTTTCGAATCTTATCATTTCGTAAGGCTCAAAGCTAGAAGTATCAACCATATTGCTTTACATATGTATGTACTAACAATTATTTTGCTGATGCCAATAACCAACATTTAAAAAGAACAGTACATTAAATAAAAAGGAACAATACTTTGATGTCTTTAAGATTAATTTAGTACTGGAGATAATTAATTTCGGTATTATAGAAATACTTTACATCACTGTTTTGTTTCTAAAAATCATAGTTAATAACGTGTTTGTTAATTCATGCTGAAATCAATAAGTACATAGCATTTAGTATACAAAATTAGGATATCATTATAAATAGTGGTTAAAACATTTCTTAGGCAGTTTAGCTTCGTGGCTGTTAATACAAGTCAAATGATGGTGTGAAATAATAAACACATTATTAAAGAAATATTTATATAAAACTTGTTGCTTTAACCATTAGTTATTCATGGTTTTAAAATTATGTTAATAATTCGAAATTTATGGGCTTATTGACTAAAGCTAACGTTCAAGTGGCCATGCTTCCTGTCGAACCAAATGTCAATCAAAGATGAGTATCGTTTGATGGGGCCGACATGCGAGCACTGTGCTTTTTGCCAACTGCAAGATTCAAACTTTACACTGGCTTGTGATTAGCTGCAAGCGTAAATCTTTGCAGGTAGATGCAGGATGGTGGTGGGACAACTGTGGGTGTTTTGCTCAGCGTCTTTATAGAAATTACGAGCCATCGTTAAGTTTGGTTGGCACTATACTTTGCCTGTTATCGTAAAAATTAAATGTCATAGGCCACATACGGTCTGATAATCGTAAAACGTTCAACTAAACCTTTATGCCACAAGGAATATTAATAACAAATCGAAAAAGTTAAAAAGAAATAATTTTGGCCTGCTGTTGTAATTATAGTGCCTACTTTATACGCCAGCCTAGCAAACATTGTTGTTTTCAAAGAGTAAATCTGGGCTATTTTAGATTGACCTTGAGGTTTTATAATTTTTAATCACATGTTAGATTTTGAAGTATATATGTGTAAATAATATAATTATGTTAGTGAATCTGCCATCTCTGTGGTTCTGGCACTTGACTTGCAATCTGCAGGTCTTGGGATCGAATCCCGCCAATGTGTTTTTCGATATTCAATGTACATATGTACATTAATCCGACGTTCTTACAGTCCAGGAAAAAAAATTAAAGATATGTTTGAAGTGAACCAACACGCACTGGGCCATCGTGGTTGACTATGGTCTAGCCACCTAATTAAGGGTAGGTTCCGAGCCCCTCAGTGGCGACGTATAGTGAGGTGATGACGATAGCACAGGGATGTCATTCAAGTGTAGTGATAAGTGTATCCAAGTAACAAGTAGTTGATGGACCTGACATTTAAAATAGCAGAAAATGTCTCTTTGATCCTAATTCCATTTTTTAATATGTCTTCGTTTTAATAATAGCCCAGTGATGTGAATATAACGAATTTTCCTTTCATCTGCGATGTAACAGGCAGTAGTCTTGCTAACATTATAATTGCGAATGTTTGAATGAATGGATGGATGTTTGTAAGAACTAATCTCCAGATATTACTACATGGATCTCGTTTTGACATTTGGCATAGATGTAAAACATAATCTTGAAGAACCGATAGGCTACTATTTGAGTGTTTTTCAATTCCGCGCGGACAGAGTCGTGGGCGACAGCTAGTATTAAATAAATTATAAAGTTCACGCACATTAGGTATTTGAATCACTTTACAAATGTCGTTAACATTTGATAAGTTGACTTAACATTTCTTAAAAGAAATGACGTGGTTTTCGCTTTATATATTTGAAATTATAATTCGTGATATATCAAATTGAATGTATAGACTGTTCTGACACTAAACTCGTTCAATATAAAATTTATTTTTTATCGTAATGTGACAATAATTTATAACAGCGTTATATTCAAATTATAAAAAATACTAATACGTTATGCTATGTATAAACTGTGTATACGCATTTTCTTTTTTTGAAAATTGTTTTTAATAAGCAATATTTTCTCTGATTATTAATCCACGGGTATCGTAGCCCCTCGGTGGGGACGTATAGTGAGATGATGATGATGCTGTCGTATTAAGCAAAGTACATCACGGTATTCGATTAAAACAGATGCTACAGTTAAACTTATTGTAATTTAAAATACAAAGAAAGAATTCACAAGTCAACGACCAGATGCTGTTAAAGAAAATAAAAAAAAATGTCGAAAGATAAAAAATAAAATAATGACATCTTAAAATTTCTTGCGTGCAGTCTGCAAGTCCGGGAAGGTTGTTAAATTGTTTACAGCCGACCGGTTAAGGTCTGGCTTCATGACTCGCAATATAACCACGACTTTCTTTGTTTGGACTTTTATTTTTAGGCATTATTAAAAAAAAACAACAGTTTATTGCAAATACAACTTATTTTGTTAAATAATAAAAAAAATCTTGTTAATGGCAGTTGATCTAAATAAATTCAATTTAAGACTTACGTTGTACAGATTATATTTAGAGGTCTTTTATGAGTAATCGTGTAGTATTCTATCGCATATAGTCCGTTTTGACTGCAGTTACACTTGTATAGAAAAATATTATCATTCTTTACATTCTTGTTAGAGAGACAACAATTTGTGCCATAAACAATTCGTAATTTTGACATTGTTTACATTTTGTTAAGGAAAACGCAAGGAAATCTATCTATCTATACATATTAATATAATAAGAGTGTCTGTCTGTAATATTGAAAAAATATCCCATTTCGCACATATGGTGTATTTGAGTTGCTGAAAACGAATATCCATCTTTTTTTTTAATTTTGTCTTTCTCAAGGACAGTCTCGGCCGACTGTTGGGTAATTAATAAATTAATTAAAAAACTAATTAAGGAGCTTGAATGACCTATCGGCGCTCAATATTTCTCGTTTTAATTTTCCTACATGATTGTGACCATGTTTAATTTTATTAAAAATGTTAAAATATCCAAGACTTAATAATTAATTGATAAAAAATTTCAAGTTGCATTACATTTAATGGTCTTATCTAAATGTCGTAGTATATTTTACATTTTACAGTCTCTTATATTGATTTTTATTATTTTTAAACTACAAATTGTCATTTTCACAAAACTTGTCCAAATTGAACATGACGAAATACTGCAAGTTAACATTTAAGTAAATCTTTACAAGTCTAAGCATTTATTACATTTAAATTATTAGTTTGCTGCTGTTTGATATTAAAACAGATATTGTTTGTCTTAATGAGGAATTAAATGTCACAGAACCATATTTCAATCATATTTGATTCGATCAATTATATAATTAGCAATTCAATCGATCTACTTTTTATTGGCTATCGAAAAATCTTATGTTGCTTAAAGTTTTCGAGTAAATAATATATTTGGTTATTTCAGTTAATGTCTACGCAAAATGTTAAATGTTGAGATGGCTGGCTGTGCAGTGCTTGTTATATATACAAGTTATGCATACTAGTTATGATTATTAAACGCCATATCTTCATAAATATACAAAAAATTTCAAACTTCGTTTCATTTCAAATGGAAATTGTAAAAATAATATTTAAATCCTGATTTCTGTTTGCCAAAGCATCAAAAAATGGATGTTTTTGATGAAATGTGAATTAAAACAGCATACGAACGGTTAATTAGAAGACATTAGTTTATTTTTTGTAATCGTAACAGATTATTAAAAACCAATATTACTTATTTCAATTAAATTTGTTATCATTAAAATTTAGTTATTAAATAATCAAAAAATAAAAGCAATCTTACATTTGAAAATTTAGCCTAAAGACATTCTATAAAAATAAATAATTTTTAGTTAAAATAGATGACAAATGTAACTATCATTAAAATTTGACTACACAACAGAATTATTGTTTAATCAAAGGAAAGAATTTTGCGACAAGGCGTTGAATTCGAGGTACAGCGATTTTTACACATATTTGTTGTATACTGTGACAAAATTCGCGAATTTATGCTAAATTATGTCAAGAAACGATTAATTACGAGAAGATTGAGAATCACTGACGATGAATAACTAATCGTTTTGAAAATTATATATGAGTAAAACTGGACATCAGAATAGACGAAATTAAGGTATATATAGGCATGGATCTCTGAATCGTCACATTTAGGAAGTAAAGCTCGCTAGATAATAACAAAATGCGGAATTTACTGGTACGTATTCAATCATAGAAGATGATTATTATAATATGAACATTAGCTATCAATATATCATACAATCGACAGAGTTGTCGCTCTTAAGTAGTCTCGTATGATAATCGTCTATAAAATTACCATCGTTACAAGGTGCCTAAATTAAGGACATTAATATTAAGTTTTTAATTATAAAAATTTTCAGCTTAGTGATGTTTGGTTTTGTTTTAAAGGTCCTGAGTGCATTGGTGGCGGCCGCCTTCGCGGCTGAAAGTGAAACGGTGAAGTAAGTACACAATAGTTGTAATAACTTTAAAATTGATATTATAACAAAATAATAGAAAACTTAGTTATTTTAATTTTAAATTAAAATCTCCGTCTCTTTCTTCCTAGCTTTTATCGCATGTGGCGATAGGGTCAATTTTATTTTAAATGTGTGATGGTGGATGTTGGGTACTACTCAAGCAATCCTATTTAAAGTAGTTTACTTTGATGATTACAAACATTTATTTAAGTACCTCTATATGTGTTATCTAGAACTACGATTTTCCCAAATAATTACTAAGACCTTGCTTATAAAATAAAGTTTATTACAAATTATATTATTTTAGGCCAACACCGTTCCAATTCGTCACCACGACGCCGCGTTACTACGCGTCGTCAACAGCGTCTGTCGGCGCGTACGACCCTAACCGCTTCTACAACGCCAACAACGCTGGCAGATACAACAACTTCGGCAGATACACAGCCAACAGATACAACCCCGGAGCGTACAACGCAGGACGCTACGACAATTCCGGGCGCTACGTCGCCGGAAACACTGGAGCTTACAAGTAAGTACCTTGCAAGCACATTAAGTTTGATTACATTTTTGCCTGATGGCAACAGTGGTTCGCGGTAGTAAGGGGTCGAATTAATAATAAAACCAAAATTAACTGCCAGTAACATTACCAGATGCATTTAGGTTTACTGCTTGTCTTACTTATACCGAATCTTTCTATTTTCAATAAGAACTTATGAGATATGTACAAAAACCTTAATAGATCAAAATTTCAACAGAATTGAGAATATAGTTTAGAAATAGAAGTAGAAATCTGGATGTTAATTTAAAAGTATTTTTTATGTTATGCTTATAGCGCTGGTGCTTACTACAACCCAACAGCGTTCGGCCAAAGCTTCGTAAACAGGCCTGACAATAGCGGCAGATACACGCCTGACAACACCGGCTCATACAAGTAAGTCATGATCTCTTTATTATTAATTTCTAATTGTGTTCAACCTTGATATTTTACAAAAACTTTATTGCTAAAAATATATATGACTGTGAAATATAGTCTCTCTCACGTAATGTCTTTAATTATTTTCTAGCATGCATGGTGATAAGTAGTTTATTTAAATATAATGGCTAGAGTAATTATAATTTTTGTTTTCAACTAATAATCGGTACATAAAATGTGAATCCTTCATTACTTTTTTGAGCAATTAGTATTTAAAAACATTTAAACTAAAGGGAACAATAATATTTTACATTATCAGCTGCTTTAATATCTGTATTTTTTTTCAGTGGTGACCGTGGAACTGCAGGCGGTGCATACGTCGCCCAAAAGGAGCCAGTTGCCCCTGCTGCGGCTGTAAGCACGGCCACCGCCAGCCCGGTCGTTTCCGTAACCATCCTTCCCGAGTCTAGCCCCGTTCCAAGCGTTGTCCTCGGCGCGTCTCCAAGCAGCGAAACTGCTGCTCCCAGCGAAGCGCCAGTTGTTTCTCCCAGTGAAGCTCCAGTTGCCTCTTCCAGCGAAGTATCTGCTCCAGTACCCAGCGAAGCTTCAGTTGCAAGTGAAGTGCCTGTTGCCGTCGCCGCCCTCAGCGATGCCGCTGAAGTTTCCCCTAGCGAAGTTCCCGTCGCTAGTCCGAGCGAAACCCCAGTAGCGTCACCTAGCGAAGCCCCAGTGGTGTCACCTAGCGAAGTCCCAGCTCCAGCTCCTAGCGCAGCCCCCGCTCCTTTGGTTCTCTTCAGTTCTACTGCCCGTCCATCTTCTCCCAGCTTCGCACCTGTATTCGTCCCGAGTCCCACACCCACTTACGTATACAAACCTGTCCAACCAGTTGCACCGGTCGTAGCAACTTTGGGTGACGGTCGTTACAACTACAACTTTGGTATTCTTCGTCAAGAGACTGAAGTACTTCCCGACGGCTACCACTACCTCTATGAGACTGATAACAAAATCCTTGCTGAGGAAGTTGGAAAATTGGAAAGGATCGACAACGAGAATAGCGGAATTAGGGCTAAGGGTTTCTACGAATACGTCGGCCCCGATGGTGTTTCATACAGAGTAGATTACACCGCAGATGAGAACGGCTTCGTCCCAGTTGGTGCTCATTTACCCCAATAAACTAGTTTTCTACCATATAAATATTTAAAATAAAGTATTTACACATTATTACCTATATATAGCGAGTGTGAATTTATGATGTAAATAAAGTAACGAATTAAATAATAAGTTTCATTTTATATTCCCTGAAATAAGCATACATTTTGTTTTTTTTTTCTGTTTAATATTTTCGTTCTAATTTAATTTTGCTAAATGTCTGTCAAATGCGGATGCGCTGGTATTCATTCTATCGTGACATTTGTTTAATAGCAAAAACCTGTAAAACTAAATTGAAAGTCGTCTAGATTTTGTATAAATTGTAATATTTATCGAAGTCATCATTTCCTTATATTGTTGAATTGTGGGAAGCATATTTACTGTTCTAGTAATTATTTATAAAACTGTAATTAATGGTATTGTCGTTTTAAATTTTAAATTGATTTTGAAAATAGAAGCTTAATAAAATTTTATCAAAATACACAATAGATAAACATTGATAATTGAAAATTAATAAATGAAATTATCATCAGACTTGCAGTACTGAAACAATCAAAAGGAGTAGGATTAAATTAATACGACGATAAAAATTCCATTTTGCGACATAACAGAAATAATTTTCTCCTTTTTCTCGGATGTTGTGTTCATTTTTTCATGCCTTAATCATTATTTTTTCAAATACTAACGAATCAGCCGACGCAAGAAACAAGTGTCAGGGAAACTTCGACACTTTGCTTGTAATCTTTCTAAGAAAAGTACGTAGAGGCAATAAACTGAGATGTGCCATAGTAAATTAGTTTCTATACTCTACGACGCTCTTTAAACCATGCTTTGGCAAATTATAAACATCTTCAATTTGAATATTTTATGAATTAATTCAGATACGGACGATCTTATTTATATTACATATTTTTTGATTATTATATATTATGAGATATCATAGACAGAGAATTGAAACACCTGGCATTTTAATATTAAATATCTATCTTACTAATCTGACTGATATTATAAATGCGAATGTTTATATGGATGGATGAGTTTGTTTGAAGATATCTCTATAACGGCTGAACAGATCTTGATGAAAAATGGCATAGATGTAGAACACAGTCTGGAAGAACATATAGGCTACTAGTAAGTTGTTTTTATTTCGCACGGACAGAGTCGCGGGCGACAGCTGGTATTTTATAACAATACGATTTAGAAATGATGATAATTATGACTCATCTGCCAATAGTCCCGTTAGCAGTGAATACCAGATACTTTTTTTATTTTGCAAATCAAATGATATGGAACCAAGAGGGGGAACATACTGTTAAATCCAAATTTGTATACAAATCGAAACCGCTTAAATTTAAGTCACATTTGTGAAGTCGGTTCGTTACCACGCCTGTTTCCATGACGAAGTTTCGGAAAGTAACAAAAAAGGTAAGGTTTATAATTATGTTTAAAAAGGTCAAATATTAAAATATTCACTCATCAAACGTCGTCAAACGAATTATTTCCTATTTGACCTTAACCGTTAATATTCAAAATATGCAAAGATCCTTGCGAATATATCGCTTCTGAATTTTTTTAATTAAAAATGTGCACTATACAAACAGTAAATTATATATTTTTTATTAAAATTCGATAACAAAGGCAACTTCATATTCCATGTATGTTTATATTTATCGGACTCTAGCGCCAGTGTTATGTAATTAATTCTGTGACTTTTGGTATTAATGAAAATGGTAACACAAATTACCATTTTCATTTATATAAAAGGCAGCAAGTTTTTATAACATAAATTTTCAATATTAATTAGATCAAAGATGAGGTGAGACGCTCGTAAAAGGAACTAGATTTTTTTTTGCTTTATTGTGTTTGAATGAACAATTCATTACATTTAGAATATAAATTTAAATTTTGAATGTCATCTTTTTGTCTTTCGTCTTGAAAACCCCACATATTATTAATAGGTATCACTGTAGCATATGCTTAAAACTTTCCTTAATCAAATGCTTAATATTTTAATGCAATATCAAAAATAATATGAACTTTTATAGGTGCGATAGGAAATAATTAAATATTAAATTAAGTATAATGATTTATGTAACACCTAAGCCAAATTATAATAATACGTCACTATACAAAATAACACAATTTTGTTAATTACCAATTTATTCATCAATACTGGAACTACTTCATATATCAAAATACGTTCTTGGCCTCATCTTCCTAAAGTCCAAGGAATTCTATTTTATTTATATCACATACTACTTAATAGGATCAAAAATAATTAATTAAGAATACTGTTTATAAGCGAGCTTCGGTGGCTCAGGGTTCACTTGATTTGCAATCTGCACGTCCTGGGTTCGAATCCCGCCATGTACCAATGTGTTTTTCGATTTCCGATTTACAATATGTATACATTTATCCGACGTTCTTACGGTGAAGAAAAACATCGTGATGCAACCTGCATGTATCTGAGAAGAAATTCAAAAGGTATGTGTAAAGTCAACCAACCCGCACTTGGGTAGGGTGGTTGACTATGGCCAAATCACCCTTAACTTAGGATAGGCTCCGAGCCCCTCGGTGGTGACGTTTAGTGAGCTGATGATGGTGATGATGATGACTGTTTGTAAGTGATCATTATCCAAAAAGACGTAAAATATTAAAAGTATGCTAAGATAAAGCAATCGTTACTTTCGATAGACATATTTTTCATATTATATAAAGTTTATCATTCTTACTACGATAATGGCAATAGTTGGATGGATGTTTCTTTGAAGGTAATCTTCAGAACATAGCCTGGAAGAACACATAGGTTACTACCTATGTTTTTTTTAATACTGCGCGGACGGAATCGAGGGCCACACCGAGTTTCACATAAAATTTAATAACATTTCACAGTTTTGTAATAAATAAACATACATTCATTAATACTATTCATTTTGGATTCGAAATGCTGACCCATTAAACGTAAGTCGATACCTCAGCTATTGATAATTATATATAGTTTCTATTTTTTGTAAATATTTTTTTACATTACAATTTGTTACATCTAATCGTTTCGCATAATTAAAATGCTTAAGAACCATTTATGTCTCTTAAAGAAGATATAACTTGATTAATTAATTAAAATTTTTGACATGTAACGTGAGATATTTGAAGCATGCGGATCCATTTTGCATCAACCGGTTGTGGATGTCGAATTGTTATATTTGATTTTGACGTATTACCATGGCTACCGGTATTTAATAAATACATTTGTATTTCAGTTTGCTTTTATGTTAGTAACTTGTCTAACATCGCGACGGATTAACAGAATATATTAACCTTATTTTCACAGTGAAAATCCCTCATTTCTGTTCGACCAAGTCATCGGAAAACCACTAATTATTGATTATAACATCCCTGTCAGACTAGTTTCAGATCTCGCTTTTACTTAACTTCGAGAATATAAATAAGAAATAGTGTGATATGGTAGCGCTGTGTTCACCTCCGCTTCAAATTCGAGCGGTGTATATCCGAGTAAATAATGATTTGACATTAACATTGTAACATTATATATTTATGTATTTTATTAAATAACAGTTACTAAAATGTCTTTGTTTCGAATGTGACGACGCCACATTGAACTATAGGTAAATTTAAAATTTATTTTGTTTTTTCTTAATATACCGCTATTAGATATTCAACATTACGATTTATTAACTCAGGAATTTTAATCTTGAACAGCTGCTACTAATACTTGAACCTTATTTTCATAACACCGCGGATTTTGTTATGCACAGATTTAAAATAAACATAAAGCTTGGTGCAGAGGGATACATGTAAACGTTCTGCTAACCAAAGTTCATTAAAAGGAGATTAATTTTTTTAATTTTTTTGTGCACTGGAGTACATTTTTGATTTTTTGTTTAAAAAAATATTTCTTTAATTATTACTAATTTTTAAAACACCTAATGCAGCCTTCTATTGGTCATAAATTGGCGCATGCTAATTCTCAATATGCAAATTTATTTGTGGAATGAAACCTATAATCGAAATTATTAGAACGAAATGTTTGATGAGTTAGTCTGCTTTAAGCGGCTTTAGTAAAAGGAGGTATTTGTAGAAGTATTGGCAAGTGTTCTATAGTGCAGAAATAAACGAGTGGCGTCTTATAAAATCTTCTACGGAACTGTTTTATTATTATGAGCTATGCTAATGCTTCTGCCTGACCTCGTCACGCCTCGATATTAGGATTCTGATCCACTTTTCGGTATGTCTCGAACAAAATTTATTATACATCTAAATGTTAATGAAGGCAATGAGGAATAAAATATTTTTGACGAATATTGAATGTTATCCGACAAAAATGCTGTTTACTTATGACACATTATCTGATCTAGTTTCAGATCTAAAACATAACCTGCGGAGTAAACAACGTGGACGATCGTCGTGTGACAAAAAAATCTATTATTAGTGACTGCGCCTCCGAACACTTCAAGTTTAATTAGATAATTGTTCTAGTCGTTGCAACATGAAGAGAATACAGCTATTAGTAAGTATTGATTTATTATTATTGCACTATAATATTATGCATTTGTTCATTAATCAATTAACTTTATTTTCTTTTGATTGATTTATAATTTTAATTATTTCATTATCATTGGATAATATTTTAAACTTTTTGGAAACGTTATTATTTTTTGTGATACTGACGTTTTCTTTTGCATTACATTATGCAATAAATAATAAAGTAATCAGACATGGGTCTGAAAGTAATCGGGTTCTAAATAAAGTACTAGTTTAATTTCAGTCAAAAAATATATTCGGCTACGCTTGGGTTCTCCTGTCATGTTATAGATAAGACGTCAGACATAATAATTTATAGCTTTTAAATTAACGTGTTTTCTTGTTATTTTATTAGTAAGCAATTTTTGCAATACTAACAATATAGTTTAGCATGAGCAAAAGCGGTACTTTAGGAGGAAGAGAAAAGGGCTTATTATTTTACAGTTCAAAGATTAATCCTATAGTCTTACTTTATAATGAACAACGTCCTTATTAAGTTTCGACTTCTTGCGATTGCGACAGTAACTAATCATTCCTTAATACGATTCTTACAGTTTCATTTACAGTTTTGTAGTATATTCACAAATAAGA